TCAAACTTATCCTGTATGACCGGACATTGAATCTCAGAGTGTCGCTGTGGCCGAGAACGGCCGGCGACGGGAGAGCAGCGGGTTTTCCCTTGGACTTGACATTTTCCTTGTATAATCGAGGACTTGACCACACAAATTTATCATGTATGAAGAGGACAAAGTGGCCATTTATAATACACATGGTATTTCTTGAAGTCGCCGATGGTAAGAACTCTTGTTTTTTTTACATATCTTATTCTTGTATTGTAATGTACTTTTTTTCTGTTTTTAGACATGCCGAAGACGTTCTTCAATCACACACACACACGCACGGACACATCACTGTACACAAAGATATACACTGTTTAACCTTTACTCGAACCCTCGCATTCATGCACTTAAACGTCAAGCGCCTCGTTCTCTGTAATTCGACACAATGAAACAACTGGAACACTGGATTCCCACAAATCTAATTCACTGGGTCCTTGTTTGGGGAAGTGGAAACGTGAATTTTAAAGATTAAAACGCCTTAAATTGGCGGCCGAAGGGGCTCTGGTAATCACAACATACATCGATTAAATAAAATTTTAGACATTCGCATCAATAATCGTTTTGTGATGAATTTTTCTGTTAAATCTCTGGGAATTTAGTACGGTAAGAAATTATCTGCGCAGAAATCTCGCTTGTATTTCGTTATTGCTAACTCTTACCTAAGATCATTTAAGACGTTCGTGTTAATCGTATATTTGATCACACTTGCCATATGCTAGCTGGTGTTTTTTTTGTTTTGTTTATCGAGGGCACTAAGAGAAAGCTGTTTTAATCTTACCCATCCTTGATTTCTCAAGATCCACAATTTGAGCTGCTGGACTGTGTTATTGTCTTGAATGTACTGTACAGTACATCTCTCACATAATGTATTATTTCGGTGAGAAATTGGTGTTCGATGTACACCATTTTGTTCACGACGCGTTTTAAGATTTTAAGTATAACATATTTAGGATGTTCTGTATTTAACATGAACTAATTTTTGTTTGTTATGCCACTAGCAGATTATCAGATTTATCATATATTAACAAACTGAGGCCTTAACATAAAACTGAAAATAAAGATCCTAAGGACAATGATCTGGAGTGTACTAACATACGAATGTGAGGCATGGACTCTTACGCATGAAATGATGGAAAGAATTAACTCATTTGAAATGTGGTGCTTGAGAAAGATGCAAAGAATAAGTTGGACGGAGAAAATAACAAATGAGGAAGTTTTGGACAGGCTGGGCTTGAGGAGAAGGTTGCTTATAAATATCCAACAAAGAAAGGTACGATATGCTGGACATTTGGCTAGAGGATCAGGAGGACAACTACTAAAGACGGTGATTGAGAGACTGGTGGAGGGGCCACGACCTAGAGGAAGATCCCGAAAGACTTGGAGAGATAACATCAAAGACTGGACTGGAAAGGATTTAAGAGAACCCTGGAATAGAGAAACATGGAAAGGAATAGTTCATCAAATGCAACCCTCTGTAGAGAGGATGCCACTGGATAGATAGATAGATACCACTAGCGTAGCGAGGAGGAAGGGGGGTCTATCATGCCCGGGTGCCACTCACAGAGGGGCGCCAAATGGTCTCTAAGGCAAACAAGATTTGTTTCTGGAGGGGGAAGGGGACGCCAATAAAGTGTAGTGCCCGGACGCCAGTTATGTTTGCTACGCCACTGTAACTACAACATAACACAGTTAGATACTGAATCCGTGAGCCTGAGGAGAGTATGGGAAATTACCAATCCGAAATACATTGTTAAATAGGCTGTTAAATATGGCAAACTGTTTTAATCTTGTCTTCTTAATGAATCATTAAGAAAGACCCAATAAATAGGATTAGTCTCATTATTGGAAGAAGAAACCTTTATTTATAAGTTTTTATATTTTTAATCATCATAAAATGGCAAAAAGCTTAATTTTGAGGGTAGTAATAAGTTTTATAAAAAAACAAAACAATATTCTTCACATTTCTATTATACAAACTCCACACCCAAGTCAATATCTCACTGTAATAGTTTCAATTATCTTATAGCTTAACTCTAAATTCCTCACAATTATCATTTACACTCAATTTGAAGGCAGGTGCTAATGAATTGATAAAAAATGATAACAATGTACAAAAAATGATAAATAATAGCATTTAAATTAAAATTATTTATCATTTTAATAATTTTGATGGCATAACACAATAATTTTTGATTTTTACCATATTATACTTCTTTGCCATCTGTTGGCACAACTGCGTTGAGGGGCCATCCTCAATGCAATTTTTTTAACTACTGTATTAATATTTTATAAAGCTCAAGAAAGGATTAATAACAGTATAAACTACTTTAATTTAATAAAACATTTTACGTTTAATTTTAATAATAATAATTCAGCAAATATTAAAAAATATATAATTGTTAATTAGAAAAAAATAACAGTAAATAACTAATTAAAAAGTTGGAGAAGCAACAACATATGTGCATAGTAAATCAAATGCTGTTTTATTTTGTCAATGTGCCAAACTGTAAGGGATGTGAGAGTCAGGAGATTTGTAAAAGGTTGGTCAGGAAAAGTCTTTGAATTTAAAACAAAACTTTGAGTAGGAACTCTGGTTTTATTTGAATTACAAGTAGTGTGCCATGTTGGTTAAATAAAAAAAAGATTAGAACACATTTTCCTTACTAACTATAAAATTTGTTTCCTATTGTTAATTTTAAAGCTTATCTAATATACACAGAGATGAAAACATACTTACGCAAAGCTTTCAGGTTAATTAAAAACTATAATAAATAAAAAAGCAGAAATACTTTGTCAAATTACAACTTTAAGCAATGAACTTACTCTGTTTCTTCCACACTCAAGATGGCAACTTCCATCTTGTGTGCGCATATACTGGCTTCACTTGATTGTACAGCCTGCCACTCTAATAGCTCCATGGCAGGTAAAATAATTTTCTCATTTCTCCCATAAGGATAGGCAACACTGATAATTAATTATACTGGAGCCGTATTATACTCCAATTAAAATCTGACAATATCATGTTTATTACTGTACATTGGGCTTGATTTAAATGCAATTAGTTTATAAATAAATTTTTTGAAATTTAAAGTATATAATTTATTTGAATTTTAAACATCAAATCAACCAACATTCAAAGTCAAATTTACATTATAATTAACAATAATGTGAGATATCGGACCCGAGTAATTACTTCCGTTAGTCCGACAACGGTAATTCGCTCACGAGTCAGGAGATAGCCGGTCAAGGTTATTACCCCGTAACAACGGGATGCGTTTTCTAAGAGCGGTAAAGGAGGTGAGAGGGTCGTCAGTTTGGCTTAGGCAACATTCGAATAGACAACACCCAAAATGCAAGGAAAATGAACATTTAATAATCCATTTAGACTAAATACATACAGAACTTGGGATATGCTATTCTAATTATATTCTTTCGCGTAGTACCGAGAGAGAGTTTACATGGTCAGCGATCATACCTCTGGACGAGTTCAATTTCGTATTCGTTGTTCAACCAGGTGTGGGATCGGCGTTCGTGTCGGATTCTATCAGGCGATCGGCGTTCGTATCGGATTCAACCAGGATCGGCGATGCAGTCGATGAGTTGGGTTGATCGAGATGTGATCGGATCGGGTGTAGTTCGTGAGAGACT